CAGTTCCTGCAACACGCCATCTTGGCTGTGGGGTCATGCTGCCTTCACGGACGGTAGGAAAAAGAAACAGTTCCTGCAACACGCCATCTTGGCTGTGGGGTCATGCTGCCTTCACGGACGGTAGGAAAAAGAAGAAATCCTCTCCAAAAACCTGAAATGGTTTTCACTCAACGTCTTAATATTATAAAATCTCCACAGGTTGCTACATTTTCTAATAAAAATTGTTTATTAAACTGCTGCAGTGTTTTAGTTAGGCCGATTTCCCTCGGCAATTTAAGAAGCGAGGCACGTGACACGGGAAGAGTTTTTTTTAAATAAAACTTTATTAAACGACAGCTCAGTGACCTCATCATTTAATTGACGCGCACGCACACTATATACAAGTTTTGTTTTTTCTTTTTCTTTTTTTTTTTTTACCTTCCAGCTCACCTCTTCCACTTGGGAGGTTCCACTGCAGGTCCTGCAGTACAGGTCCTGTACCAGAGGCCTGGGTTCTGAGGGGTCAGTTCAATTCAATTCATCTTATTTATATATCTCCAAATCACAACTGAAGTCGTCTCAGGGCACTGAACAGAAACATTCACACACACGAAAAAAAAAGCTAAGTTATTTAAGGAAGCCAGCAGATTGCATCGACTCTTCACTTTGTTCACTTCACAATCACCCAAGTTGATTGTTGTTGTTGTTAAGCACTTTGATAACAGGTTCTGTTTTAAATGTGCTCTATAAATAAACTTGACTTGACTTTGTTGCAGTCTCCCATCCTGAGCAAGCACAAAGGCAGCAGTGGAAAGGAAAAACTCCAGAAGAAACAGGCTCAGGACGAGCGGCTCTCTGCTTGGACCGGCTGGGGTTCTGTTCAGTCCCTTAGCTGTGTGTGAACTCAACTGTCAACGTATAAACGGGGGCTGAGCTGTTTGGAAAGAACATACATTTATTGGTGTCAATCATCTGAAACTGACATCATACTGTCCAACCATCTTCCAGCCGTGACATCATCAAGGCTTCATTTCCTGCCGGAGGTGACGTCATCTTGTCTGACGTGTCGGTTCTACACAGTTTTAGCATCTTTAGCACAAACGAAAGGATTTGTTCTGTTGCAGTTTGCATCGTTGACATGATCTTTTCCTGTAAAAAATAAAAACCACAAACTGGAGAAACTACAACAATATTGTAGTTCAATTCCACTTCTAAAATATTTTTTAATAATGAGAAATAAAAACTGAATAAATATAATAATCTAATACATTATTAAAGCTAAATGATTGGAGACGCTGCACAAAAAAAATCTACTTTTACTGAAACATCTGTTTAAAGAGCAGTTAACCTCGTTTGTACCATTCAGGTTGATCTCCATGCAGTTCTCGTCTCCACCCAAGTTGTTTGGTTCCCCTGGACCCCAGGCAGTGAAGGTGAACTTCGAGCCATCGCTCCACCTCCAATCACTGTCCTGTAAGAAGAAGTTTTTAAAACTCTGCCTTTTGTGATTGGTTTGATTTAAACCACTCACAAATAGAGAACATTATGCAATCAACCTGATTTGTTCTTCCATTAAAACCCTCACATTTGAAGCATCGGTTCCTCCGACCCAAGTTCTTGTTTGTGCTCCAGTAGCTTCGTAAATAACAGCCTGGATGGAGTTGTAGTCCCACGGTTTTTCCATAGAGGCCAGGTGGGCATCGAGCGAAATGCAGAATTGCTGTAGGGAAACAGAAAATCATCAACATCACTGAACATGGGCTTCAACAAATCAGCCAGCTGTCCAGGATTTAGGAGCACAAGTGTCAGGGCCTTTCTGTGAGGAGTTTACATGGTCTGCATGTGCACATGTGGGTTTTTCTCTGATACTTTGGTTTCCTCCCACAGACTAGAAACATGCATGTCAGGCTAATGGTCACGGTTTCTAGGTGTGGGTGAGAGTGTGAATGGTAGTTTGTCTTAATTTTTCTCTACGTGCACCTAGCTGGCCCAGAAAGGAGAAACAGGTAAAGAACGTGAATGGATGGAAGGAGGGATGGAATACAACCACAAAAAAACAAAAGTGGAATCCTACCTGAAACTGCTGACTAAGGCTAAGGTCAAACACAACAAGACTGTTATTCACATCGCCGGTAATGACACCCGGTTACGCCAATCGAAGCTACACTGAAATAAATGTTGACTGGGTGTGTAAATTAACAAAAACCATGTTGGACTCCATGGTTTTCCCTGGTCCCTTCCCCAACCTGACTAGTGATGACATGTTTAGTCATACATACGTCATCGCTCAACTGCTGGGTGTCCAGGTGGAGTTCTGAAAACAGCGTGGGCTACGTAGATAACGAGTTCTCTTTGGAAAAAAACCTGGTCGGACGCGAGATATGGCATCCATCCCACTTTGAATGGAGCTGCTCTTCTTTCTAGAAATTTGGCCGATTTTGTTTGTCCTCCAAATTATTGACAACCAAGGGTCCAATCCAGGAAGGAGAATTTTAGTCTTGATTCAGTTCAATTCAGCTTATTTATGTAGCGCCAAATCACAACAGAAGTTGTCTCAGGGCACTGAACAAAAACATACACAGACATTATAAAAGACAATTAGTAAAAGTTATCTATCCAAGGAGGCAGCAGATTGTGCTGAAGCTCCCATCCTGAGCAAGCACCAAGGAGACAGTGGAAAGGAAAAACTCCCTTTGAACAGGAAGAAACCTCTAGCAGAACCAGGCTCAGGACGAGCGGCCAGATTAAATCCATCCAGACGAAGTGAAAGACTGCAAAATTTATTCCCAAGATGATCAGGTCCAAAAACTACAACATCTGGTTTCTTTAAATTTAAAAGCAGAAAAATAAGGATCATCCAGGTTTTTATGTCTTTAAAGATATGATTGTAATCAAAGTAACTGATTGGATTCATTGGGTTTCATGGCCAAATATAACATAATATTATAATATATTATAATATATTATAATATATAATATATTCCTGTAATCCAAATATTGTATTCAAGTCTCTGTAGTAAAATATTATGATCATCTGTATTAAATGCAGCACCGAGGTCTAGCAGGACCAGTAGAGACACCTGTCCATTGTCAGAGGCCATGAGAATATCATTAGTGACTTTCACCAGTGCTGTTTCTGTACTAAACCCTGACTGAAACTCCTCAAACAGATTATTTCTTTGCAGATTTTCATGCAACTGACCTGCAACTATTTTGTCAAGAGTGCTGCATTTGATACAGTTGATCAGAATATTTTACAACTGAGGCTTAAATATGATATTGGAATTACAGGAATGGCTCTAAAATGATTTAAATCACATTTATTTGATGGATTCCAGTTTGTAAATGTAAATAATGAATCTTCTTCATACACCAAAGTAAGTCATGGAGTTCCGCAGGGTTCAGTGCTTGGACCAATACACTTTACATTATTATGCTGATGATACACAATTATATTTGTCCATGAAACCCATTGAAACCAATTAGTTACTTAGATTACAAGCATGTTTTAAAGATGAAAAAACCTGGATGACCCTTAATTTTCTGTTTTTAAATTTATAGAAACCAGAAGTTGTAATTTTTGGACCTGAGCATCTTGGGAAATCATTTTGCAGTCTTTAACTTTCTCTGGATGACATTAATCTGTCCTCCAGCTCTAATGTTAAAAATCTTGGTGTTATTTTTGATCAGGACATGTCTTTTATCCCCCACATTAAAAACGTTACTAGAACCTCCTTCTTCCACCTGCGTAATATCACTAACATTAGAAACATCTGATCTAAAGATGATGCAGAAAAACTGGTCCATGCATTTGTCACGTCTAGACTGGACTATTGCAATGGTTTATTATCTGGGTGTCCAAATACTTCTTTAAAACGTCTTCAGTTGATCCAAAATGCTGCTGCCAGAGTCTTAACTGGAGTTACTGGGAGAGATCATATCTCTCCAGTTTTAGTTTCTCTCCATTGGCTCCCTGTCAAATCCAGAATAGAATTCAAAATCTTACTTCTAACCTACAAAGCTCTCAACAACCTAGCTCAATCTTATATTACAGATCTTATTGTTCCATATTTTCCTAACAGAGCACTTCACTCTCAGACTGCAGGTTTACTTGTGGTTCCTAGAGTTTACAAAAACAGAATGGGAGGAAGATCTTTCAGTTCTCAGGCTCCTCTCTTGTGGAACCAACTTCCAGTTCCTGTCTGTGAGACTGACACATTGTCCAGTTTGAAGACTTTCCTTTTTGATAAATCCTATAGTTAGGGTCGGCTTGGGTTTCCTGAGTTGTCCCTTAGTTCTGCTGCTATAGGCTTAGACTGCTGAAGGACTAATTGACCACATTTCCTGTCTCTGCTGCTGTCTTTACTTTCATTTACCTTTATTTATACAGGTCGTGTCATTGAGCCACGAGAACTAATTTTCAAGAGAGACCTGTTTTTGGGAGCAGATGGTGGGGGTTGGGGGCCTTGCTCAGGGGCCCAGAGTGCGGCAAATGAGGCTTCACTTGTTCTACTCTCCCGGTTTGTATTTGTAATTATTTCTATCTTAAAGTGTTTTTTTTTTCCCAAGTTCACCTGGACCTGTCGTTCTGTGTGTGTTTGTCTCTCCTTCCTGTCGTCTCAAACCCAGCTGGTCGCTCGTCCTGAGCCTGGTTCTGCTGGAGCTTTCTTCCTTCTAAAGGGAGGTTTTTCTTTCCACTGTCTCCTTTGTGCTTGCTCAGGATGGGAGAGTGTGATGAAGTGAGGATTCAGAATCAGAATCAACTTTATTGTCATTGCACAGTTAATTAAGCACAGTGAAAATACATTTCATTGCAGCCGTCCAAAGACAAGGGTAGACGGACGTGCACGGAGGCTGCAGCTTCGTTGTGAAGCGCTGCTCTTATCTCTTAGATAAGAAAAGGGAAGAAAAACATGAGGAAAGAAGGTATAAAAAGATCTCTCACACGGTGTCCTTGACACAGGGCACAGTGCAAGGCAGCAAAAAACCAC